AAAAATAGGGGGAAAATTGGAGAAAAAATGCAAAAAAAACGGGAAATATGGAGGAAAAAAATGGGTAAAAATCGGGAAAAAATGGGGAAAAAATTGGAAAAATGGGAAAAATGGGGGAAAAAACGGGGAAAAGTTGGGAAAAACTTGGTGAAATATTTGAGGAAAATTGGGGGAAAAAATGATGGAAAATGGGGAAAATCTGGGGAAAAGAAGGGATTTTGGTGCTGCTCTTCAGTCCCCGGTGTCCCGGTGAGTTTGGTGGGAAAAATGGGGATTTTTGGGAAAAAATTTAAAAAAAATGGGCAAAACAAAAAAAAAAATGGGGAAAATCGGTGGAAAAATGGGGAAAATATGGGGAGAAATGATGAAAAACCAACAGAAAAATGGGGAAAAAAATGGAGAAAAAAATGGGAAAATGGGGAAATTTTTGGTGAATGTTTTTTTTTTGGTTTTTTTTGGGGGGGGTTATTTTTTGGGTGAATATTTTGGTGACTTTTTGTGAATTTTTTTATTAATTTCATGAATTTTTCCGGGTGGAATTGCAGAAGATTCCGTGTACATGGAGAAGACGAGCGACCTCAACGAGTACGTCCTGAACGAGAGCGGCCGAATCTTCTACGGCACCGAGGACCAGATCGTCGACAGATCCTGGAATTATGGCCAGGTCCGACCCAGAAATCCCAAAAACCAGCTGGGAACTGGGAGGGACTGGTTTATACTGGGAGGGACTGGGAGGAAACTGGAACAAACTCCCCATTCATTGTAATAGGTAGACCTGATGTCCCTAAGACCCCATTGCCGTTAATGAGTAGACCTGGTGTCCCTAAAAACCTCATTGCCTTCAATGGGTAGACCTGATGTTCCTAAAAATCCCAATTGACCTCAATGGGTAGACCTGGTGTCCCTTAAAACCCAATTGCTTTCAATGGGTAGACCTGATGTCTTTAAAAACCTCATTCTTTCAACGGGTAGACCTGGTGTCCCAAAAATTCCACACTCACTACAATGGGTAGACCTGATGTCCCTAAAGCACCATTGACCTCAATGGGTAGACCTAGTGTCCCTAGGACCCCATTGATCTCATGGGGTAGACCTGGTGTCCCTAAAGCCCCATTGAGCTCAGTGGGTAGACCTGATGTCCCTAAATCTCTATTGACCTCAATAGGTAGACCTGATGTCCCTAAATTCCCTATTGACGTCAATGGATAGACCTGTTTTTCCTAAAACCTCATTGACTTAAATGGGTAGACCTGGTGTCCTTTAAAAGCCATTGCTTGCAGTGGGTAGACCTGGTGTCTGTTAAAGCCTCATTGCCTTCAATGGGTAGACCTGGTGTCC